TAAAAAGGACCGGAGGAAGTATTATGTTAGAGACTTCAACCAATATAAATAAAATATGAGAATGAATATAAAAAGATTAAAACAAAGTAATTAAGAAAAAAGGCTAAATATCTTTTTTCATTCCTTAACTATATTTCTGGATCTATTTTCGTCCCTTAGCTTTTAAAAGAGTCAATTTGATCTTTTATTTATTCAAACTGTATTATATAAGTGTTTTTCATCTAATTCTAATTAACATTGTCTATTTTTGCATGCTTGGCATCCTACATGGCACATTGTCATCACCTTCTTCCTTTTGTCTGACTTTCTTTATTTTGTCTACTTTACATAAAGAAACACAGTGAAGAGAAGCATACCCAAACAAAAAATAAAGGAAATATGAACTTTACCATTTGAAATCAAGTAATTATGAACTAATTATCATTTTTATCACTAATAATAATATCAGTTAGATCAATCAAATCCAAATCCCATATATTTTTCTAACTTTTTTTTGCACACAAAATTTAAAAACAAAAGCAATAAATGGTAAGAAGAAATCAAATCAAAACTAGAACGTTGTGGATGGTGGAAGCGCAAGCATTGCGAGCCCGGTGACTTTCTAATTAAAGAAAATGAAATCGGAGCTGCAAAAGCGGAAGAAGAAGCAAAAGTGATGGCGTAAAAGGTAAGATCGTTATTGTTAGCATTGTTAGAAGAGCCATTCAGAGTGAGAGGAGAACGAAAGAATAACGGACTGGACCTATCACGCTTTCTTCTTTTGGAAACAGATAAACTAAGATAATGAGTCAGGTTAGGATTTTAGTCTCGATTGAGGTTTGATCTTATTGAATATTAAGGTCTGGGTTTTGTTGAGGTGGTGGCAATTGAGAAGGATGATTGAGAGAAAATTGAGGTGGAGGAGGAGAAGGGTCAAGTACACTTGGTTAAGGATTGTCTTGTGTATTATTGATTAATTGAAGCTATCTTATGCTCCACTCACCAACAACACCGTCATTGTTCAGTTTCATTACCACACTAGAGTGAAAGGTTACTTGAACGATTTTGAGTTTCATCAATGGAGCTTTAAAAGTAAAGAGATGAAGTGGTAGTGTTTGTGTTCTACATCAGTGCCAATTGAACATGAAATGGCTAGTAAGTTTGTTTTTGACTAACAGATTTAACAAAAAGGACAAACATGACACTGTTTGAATAAATAAGAGATCAAGTTGATCCTTTTAAAAGATAATGGACCAAAATGGACCTAAGGATATAGTTTAAAAAAATAAAAAAGGGTATTTAACCTTAAAAAAACAACCAAAATTAGAGAAATACATGTTTTCATAATCTAGACAAATCATAAAGAACAAAAAAGAAAACTATCTTAACAAATATAAGGTGAGATCATTTACCCCATTCATGGAAAGTAGAAGGAAAATTTATAAATAAATAAAAAACACTTTCAAATTTATTAATTGTTTTGAATTAACTATCTCATCATTTAAAATATCATTATTTGCAACTTTCGTCTTTTTAGTATTACTCTATTTAACCTTCTATAAATTTTAAAGACTTAAATATATTTTTGATCCTCCTAATTTGATGATTTTAAATTTTTAATCCCTCCATTTTAAATATTAGTTTTTTAATCCTCAACTTTACATTTTCTTACAATTTTGTTAGTCCCTCTCAAGTTTTGCATATATGGCATTGGTGATTAGGATATAAAAATTTAACTATAATGATGTGGTAATGATAAATATGATCATTTAATTTAATTTTTTTTACAGAATAAATCAATAATTTTAATTAAGTTTTTTTATTTAGAAATTATTTTATGCATATTTTAAAATATTTTTTTGGGCTAAAGACCCATTTGTTTAAATCATTTCTCTAAGCCATAACTTTGACACTAAGTAAAGCTAATGTATGAAATATAAACACTCAAACAAAGTGTAACACAAACAATGTCGAACTTTATTTTAAAGAGTTTTTTTGCCTTCACCACAAGAGCATCACCATATGCCATTTTCTTCTAACCTAAACTCTGATGTATTCTTTTTCACTTCTGCACATAGGAGAAGCTCAAGAACTACAACTTTATGAATGGTTTTATTATGGGTGCATTAAAAAATCCATGTCAGAAAGATTCGTTGGCTTATACCTTACTTCCTGCAACATAGCTTTCGCCTTAGGATGATCAAAGAACAACCACAAAAATAGTATCCATCCAAATGCAACAAACTAGCCGAAGAAAAATGTGTCAATCTGTGAGAGTTTTGAAGGTGACTTCCACATTCAAAGTTGGTCTACTCCCTAGAAACTATTAGACAACAACTTAATATCCTACAAATTTATCCATAAGTTATGTCATGGTGAGAAATCTGTAACTAAACATGTTTAATTGATGCTTCTAGATAGGGTTGTTAAAAAAATCATGAATCGAACCGAACTGCCTAACCGAATCGAAGTTAAAATAACTGAACTGTTATATTTGGTTAGTGAATCAAACCATATAACATAAAACGGTTCTAGAATCGAACCGAAACGAACTAAAACTGAAACTGATTCGAACCAAAATTGAAAATGAAAAATACTAAAAATAAGTTTTAAATTAAAAAAAAAATTGAAAAACAGTTTAATGGTTCGGTTCTAAAAAAAATTGTCTTCTAACGGTTCGGTACTGTTCAAAATTTCTAAATGGTATACCAAACCAATTATTTTGGTTCGGTTCGGTTCTGAGTGAATTGAAACGGTTTGGTTTAGTTCGAATAAACTTTTACTATGTTTCGGTTCGATTCAGTTTAGTTTTCTCATTGACTTGAACCGCGAACAGTCCTACTCCTAGGTCTGCAAAGGAGTAAAAATCTCAGAATAGCCAAGTGCAAATTAAACAACTGATTATTTCGTGCTCTTATATGTCTAAGCTTTTAAGATTATGCTAGCATAAAGCTTTGGACGTACAAAGTGACTAATAAATAAATTTTTGTAAACCATTACACAAAATTAGGAATAACAAGTTGGTTTTATTCTAGCAATTAAAAAGTATTGTTCTTTACTGCCAAATCTTGCTTCTTTAAACTCGGACATCACTTTTTCAAGCTTTTTAATCCTCTTTTCAAGATCAAATTCCATGTGTGATGTAAAAGGATTAACACTTTCCTCTTTTTCACCATTTTTATCACAACTTATACAATATTTCACTCTCACTACCCATATTTGATGATTTAAAATCACCAAATTCATGAATAGACAAAGTCTTTCCATTTTTAACTACTTCATCATCCAACCCTGATAGTTCATAAACTAAGAAATGATCCTCTTTATGTTGAGAATAATATAACAAGTGTGAGTTGGAGTCCTACATTGGTTACCCAATATTCAATGCTCCCTAGTGATAAACTCCTCTAACATGGTATCAGAGCCTAATTTGTAAAGGGACCGACTTACATGTATCGAAATGCTCAGAAAGTGGTGTCCCGTTGAAATCGTATGGCCAGGAAAAGGTGTATCAAAATACCTAATAAGAGGTGCCTAGTAATTAGAAGTCAACGACGGTACAAGTGTATGTGGACAAAAGAGTTTCCACATGAGGGGGGAACATTGTGGACTTACACTTGAGGGGGACTGTTGAGAATAATATAATAAGTGTGAGTTGGAGTCCCAATGTTCAATGCTCCCTAGTGATAAACTCCTCTAACACTTTACACATGGAATTTTATATTTTTTAGTTCTTGTGCTTCTCCCATATGCAAAAGTGAAAGAGAACGTTGAAAAGACAAGAAGACGCAACAGAGGTTGGAATGAAATGGCATATGATTATGCTTTTGTGGTGAAAAGTTCCACGTTATTTGGGTTGCATTTTGTTGAGTGTTTATGTATGTTTGAATTGGTGGTATGAGATAGAATGAAATGGATTGGAGTGGTAACTAATGTGATTCTATTGTTTGGATATGCAAATAATTGATGGAATGAAATGGAATATGATGGAATCCATTCCATCCCATTCAATCTAAATTCTCATTTTTCATTTCATCCAATTTGGAGTGTATGTGATTGAATGAGATATTTTTAATAAAATAATCAAACAATACAGTGAAATCTATATTTTATTCCGCTTCGCTATGTTTCATCCGTATTGTTCCATTATTTTCCATCAATCCAAACATAGTCTTAGTGTCAAGTTGTGGGTTAGAGAAATGATCCAAATAAATGGGTCTTTAGGCCAAAATTTTTTTTTTTAAAATTTGTATAAAATAATTTCTGAATGAAAAAACTAAATTAAAAATATTAATTTATTATATAAAAAATAAATAATAAATAATCTTAGTTATCATTGTCATGTCATTAAAATTAAATTATTTATCCTACATATTCATAACTTAAGAGGGATCAACAAAATTTTAAAGGGTGCAAAATTAAAAGACCAACCAAATAACATTATTTCACAACTTTTATATTTTTAGTATTACTCTATTTTACCCTCAATAAGTTTTAAAGCTTACAAATATAACTATTCAATATTTTATATTGTTTTAGCCAACATATATTCCAAAAAAAACTATAGATGAGTATTTGTACCAATAAAATTATATAATAACTATTTTAAATATATTTTTAAAAATACATTATTTGTTGAATTGAATTTATTTCATAAAATATTAAATATTCTATAACGTTATAATAATAAAAAGTCTACATAATTAATTTATTCAACAAAACAATTTAATTTACTCATAAAATTTCATTTCACAACTAAATAAAAATTTTAAAAAAAATTACAATTTCGCTATTACAAAGAAATTGTTGAGCAAATCTTAACCTTACATATATAATTTCATCACAAACAACTTTAAATTTAGAAAACAAAAATATTTGTTCACCCTAATAGATTAAAGGTTGAGTCTCAACCAAATTAGGAGCACCTAAATGCATTTGATTTGAACCATCACCGCCTATATCATCATTTGTCGTCATTAAATGGATCATAATAGTAATTACACGGCAGAATGATAAAAAAATCATTCAGATTCAGCTAATTTTCTTTCTTCATATTCGTCCCTCTTTTGACTATAAGCTGCAGCAGCTTGTATTTCAGTATCAAAAGTACCTAACCATATTCTTTTCTTTGCAAATGGATCTCGAATCTCAGCTGAAAATTTTCCTGATTGTCTACGTCTTACACCTTTAAATTTGCTTGTGGAACGCATTTTATTCTTTCCCTCTTTGAGAGGAAACTTGGCAAGTTCTTGTATATTTGGAATTACAATCTCATGTGTAATTCTCTTAGAAACTGAGGAGCCATTAGTTTGACCAATTTCATCATCACTTGAACTATCTGTTGCATCGGGATCAATGTATGTGATTCGATATTTTTTATAATCAATTCTTTTACCTGATACTTTAATCTCTTCTTTTTCATTAGTATAATTCTCCTTTTTGTCCATTTTCAAATTGCAACTCAAAATCTGACCACTTAAAAAGAAAAAAGATAATCAAGATAAATCCAAAATCATATTATTTCCCTAAAATTCATGTGATAATCAAGATAAATCTAAAAATCATATTATTTTCCTAAAATTCATGTGCAATTGATCTAATACTAGACTAAGTATCTTTAATGTGTATAATTATTATATTTCATTTTAAATGAAGTACATAATTTTATTAGAGTTGAGATATTTATTTCTATTGAAAAATTGATTATCAACTTCATTCATAAGATTCATAAGAGATAGATACAAAAGTTTAATAAAAATGATTTAGTGCTCTCTTTTATATAAATATCTCTTTAACTAAGTTTTAAATATTTGATGCAGGAAAAAACACATCAAAATGAATATTGTAAGATGAACAAATGTATCTTACATAGGTACTAAAATGTTTCAAATCAACCAAAAAATCATGAGTATAAAATAAAACATATAGAAAATAGTGAATTGTTGAAGGATCTTACCAAAAATTAAAGAACAGGAGACATGAGTTTATAAAACTCTTGAATGACCACATTTTGTGTTTGCAATGGGAAAGTCTTATTTATAAGCTAGAAAATTTATTTAGTTTGCCAACTCATACTCAATTCAACTTTTTCTATGAAATTAAGGAATTTTCCAATTGGAGTTACTCATAATATAAGATATTCACTTATTTAATACAAAGATAAATTTACTCGCACTTTGATTCAATTTTGTATGTTTAATTAAAAAAAATTCATTCTATCCCATCAAATTTCACGTGATAAAATTTGGATCGATTTTTAAATATTCAAACTAAAAATTCTAATTATTTTTATTAATATTAATATTAAAAAATACTATAAAATAATATATTTAAATTAATATACAATATATATAGTATATTAAAAATAAAAAATAAAAATGTTTGACTATGTTTGAAATTAATGAAATAATAAAAATAAATAGATTATTTAAACTAATAAATTATACTAAAATAAATTAAATACCAACTAGTAATATATTGATGTTATATATTGTACTAATAAAAAATAAATAATTATTAAAATATAGGAATGTGGTTCAATTCGATTTAGATGGATTTTGGAAAATAAAATGACAAATTGATGTGATAGGAGTGATTTTCATAAAAGATAATCCAAACAAATTCAAAATTATTTAGTTTATTGTGATTTTTAATTTTTTAAAATTGATTAGCATATTTTTATTTATATCAATTTAAATTTGAATACGTCTAAGTTTGATTTTTTCGAAAATAATGAAAAACGGGTTTGAAATACACAATGAACATTTCCATTAAATTTTAACTAAATTTAAATTTGAATTTAAAATTTTTGAGTTTTAGTCTAAATCTAAATTAAAAAATATTTTCGACAATAAATTTTAGTCAATTAAATAGGTCAATAAATTATATATATAAAATATTATATAATAATTAAGATAAGAATATTTATTAATATGATCATAATTAAAATATAATGGTTTAATTCAAATCATTTGTTTTGACTATATAAAATTAATTCTATTAAAGTTAATTATTTTTTACTATAAAATAATATTTATTAAAATAAAAGAGTAAAAACATTCAAGTGGTAAAGAGAAGAAGGCTAGAGGTTGAAAAGAGAATGAGAAAGTACATGAGTTGAAAAGAAAAAAAGACACAATAGAGGTTGAAAGGAAATGGTATATGGTGATGCTTTTGTGTTGAAACCAAAACAACTGTGTAGAATAAAGTCTCACATTATTTGGATTATATTGTAGTGGGTGTTTATATGTCATACATTAGTTTTACTTAGTGTCAAGTTCTGAGTTAGAGAAATGATCCAAACAAAGGCAAAAAAAAAATTCTTTTAAAATTTGCATATAATAATTTATGAATAAAAAAACTTAAATAAAATTATTAATTTATTATATAAAAAATATTAAATAATAAAATATCCTAATCATCGTTGTCATATTATTAAAATTTAATTATTTATTTTAATTATCTATGTCACATATGTAAAACTGAAGAGAGACCAACAAAATTCTAAGGAATGTAAATTCGAAGGACCAACAAACTGATTTTTAAAATAGGGGAAATAAAATTTAGAAATCATCAAACTAGGGGGATCAAAAGTGCATTTAAGCAAATTTTAAATTTCACAAACATAATCATCAAATATTTTTATTTTTTTTAGTCAACATATTCCCAAAAATAACAATAGAATGAATATTTGTAGTATCGTACTTCAAAAAATGAGAACGACCTTGTAGAGCGCAATCGCACGCTCGTGGGATGGACTTAACAGAGTCACTACCGATCTTTATTTATTTTCATCAAGGAAAAGAGAAAATATCGAATAAAATCCCTAAAAAGAAAAGACAGTGATATGGTCATCGCAACTAATATCTGTGTTCGGGAGTAGGTTACGCAAGTGGAAGGTATTAACATCCCCTCACGCCCGTTGTATTCAACGAGAACCGTTAGGTTAGTTGTGCACGTTATTGTTTGTTTAAAAGTTAGGCTTATGATAAGTTCTAAATTGTAGTGATTTTTAGTGTGAATAATTGACACTTATTGCCTTGATTCGTTTGTTTTCCATTAATAATTCACTGTTTTTGTATACACTTTGTATAATTTACATATTATTGTATATATTGCATTTCCGTGTACATATCAGTGAGTTTGATAGTTTTTCATCTGTTTTTATAGGTAATAATGCATGGTTGAAGTATGGACTCGTTTGAGCCAAGAGGGATGCTTCAAATGCATAATTTTAGAGTTTTTGAACTAGCATTCGCGCTTAGCGCGATTTTTAGCGCGCTGAAGGTGGATGACATAAGCAAATAAACTTGGTTTTTCTTATCGCTCTTATCGCGGTTTATGTCGGCTTAAGGGTACTTTAAGTGAGATTGTGTAACACACTTCTAACCCACAAATATTTCATGAATAAATTAATAGATAATTCAACACAATGTACCAATAAGGATGTCACATCGTCATAAAAAAACATCTTAAATAGACAATTCTGCTCCATAGCGTAGGTTTTCAAAACATTTATAATAATTACTTATTCGCTATCATCAACAAGTTAATTCAGACTTCATAGCAGAATCATAATCTCAAAATATCATCATTGTCAAAAGTCACATCTTCAAATAAAATCTAATCATATAGAAAACTTATAGAATAACTCTAGCGAAAAAACATAAACTTCAACTCAAGTGTTCTCCACCCGATGTTACATATCATAGAAAGACACCTCTATTATTAATGGAAATAACTAAAACTCCAAGCTATCTTCGAACTCCTACGGCTATTTTTGATTACCTGCAAGTTAACCACATATAGAGGCAACATTTCCAAGAAGAAAGGGTGAGTAATCACATATCATTACAAAAGATATAAGGAATAGATAAAGTAGATATAATAACAATATCGCAAAATCATTTAATACTTTTCATCGCACATATATACTCACACTTTCACATCATTAAGTCATTCACAACAACAATACATTATCAATCAATCATTGTCACAACAACATCACTTATGTCCCCGCATCAATAAAAATTATTAAATTCATAATTATGCAATGTCACATAACATAAAATGCAATAACACTGACTCATGCATGTGGTACCAAACATCTTTGATGAATATTTGGTCATCTCCGTCCAAAGATCCCCACCATAGGATCGATTCCCACTTGGAACTGGAGCACATCATAAAACGTACTCAATCCAAACAATGGGATTGAGGCCACCACTGTACCAATGCCCTAACATCGTCACTTGACCGAAGTCCTAACATACGCCATGAATGCATGATGCACAACAACATAGTAATCACGACTACAGTTAGTTAAATTGCATCATCATTCATGTAAATAACCATCACATTCTTCACATAACATTCATAAACATCAAACATGCATGTAATCCACTTCATTCAACATATTCATCATCTTTTACATCATGGTACGACACGATATCCTCATATCATCAACAACTTCATCATACATCATTACATCGTCACAATTGATTGCATAAAAGTATAATATATTCATAGTAAAGGTACTGGAAAGGTACATCATCCTACTCATTTTATCCTACCAAAATATAGTTCATAGTGTTAGCTCTCTAATGCTTCGAACGACGCATCAAAAGAAGTTCAGAAACTCAAGTTATGACACTTCGAAGATCCTGTCTACTGCCCCTCGCCTGAGACTCGCCCGACGAAGCTGAGGCGAATCTTATTCCCCCATACAAATTCCAGGAGCACCCTCTTTTCACCATATCCTTTGCTCCTCATCTCTCCCAGTGCTTCCTGGGGGAAGTTGCTTCGCCCGACAACATGGAAGGCTTGCCCGACGAATCGTGTGAAACAACAACCTGCTGTTGTATTTTTTGCACAATTCCATCCCCCAATTTCATGCGATTCCACTACTCATTCAGTCTCAAACTCATATAATTCACATGTTTTCACAATACAACAATAACTCATTACAATAGACATCATATAAATCGTTTCATGACATTACAATATCACTCTATCACAATTTCAGCATCTATTTCATCTCAATCATCATGTTATCAAATTCATCATAAAAACTCCAACAAAAGCACAAATACCTAAACCCCATATCAATCATAATAATAATGACAACCCCCTTACCTCACTTCCTGGCAGTTGTTCTCTCTTCCTTCGCGTCTTCTACGAAAATCCCCTTTGGTTCTCTGTGCCCTAGCCCTTTCTCCACAGTTTTTCTCCAATCTCACGATCATACAAAAATGAATCACCACTCTCCTCTTTTCCTTGTTTAACCCTTAGACCCCTATTACGCCTTTCCAAACTTGCCATCACTAATCCTCATGAATATTACTCATTTTCCCTTATTCTCTTTTTCACCTTATATCTAATTGATTATTATTATAATTATAAATAATATAAGCTAAATTATTTAAATTTAAATAATTCTACCCATCCC